TTGGTGGAGGGGGTATGGTGGGGGCAAAGCAGGAGTCTGGCTTGGTGGGAAGGGATTGGGCAGGGGCAGGGTGGGGGCAGGGCCTGCGAAGAGGGGGCCCTGTACCCAGGGCACTTGGAGGTGTTGACTCAAGCCCTGAGCCCCCCTAGGGATGACCCTGGTCATGATTAGTAGGAGGGAGAAAGAAAGAAAGAAAGAAAGAAAGAAAGAAAGAAAGAAAGAAAGAAAGAAAGAAAGAAAGAAAGAGGGAGGGAGGGAGGGAGGGAAGGAAGGAAGGAAGGAAGGAAGGAAGGAAGGAAGGAAGGAAGGAAGGAAGGAAGGAAGGAAGGAAGGAAGGAAGGAAGGAAGGAAGGAAGGAAGGAAGGAAGGAAGGAAGGAAGTGCAAGAATTGGAAGGTCCCTCAAGAGGCTCTCTTGTCTGTCCCCACACGCTGACGTAGACCTCGACCATCTCTAGCAAGGGGCAGCCCAGCCTGTCCTTAAACACCTCCGGGGTGGGATTCCTCTGCCGCACTCGGGGGCCAAGTGCTTCACTCTCCCTAGACGGTTTGCCCGCATATCGGCCCAAATGAAGCGGATTCCTTCTTGTCCCGCCCGCAGTGAACATGAAGAGCGACGGATCGCCGCCCTCTGCAGACAGCCAGATGGCGAGAGCGCGCCTTCGCGGTTCATGTAAGGGGCAGCGATTCCTCGAAGACAGCGGGTTTACAACGTCCACTCCTCCTCGCAGACGACCCACCGAGAGCTAAAGCCCAGAATGTTACAGAGGAGCCAGAACTGGAAGGGCCGCTTGCTATAAGATGGTGTGGGGCTAAGCTCGGAGGGAGGGATAGCTCAGTGGATTGAGCATTGGCCTCCTAAAGCCAGTTTTATGAGCTCAGGCCTTGAGAGGGCCACCTAGGGCAAATCTGTCAGGGAGGGTGCTTGGTCTTGCTGTGAGGGCAGGGGACTGGACTCAATGACCTCTCAAGGTCCCTTCCAGCTCTAGGAGACTGTATATCTCCATATTATTAAGTCCCTCTCCATTTCAGCAGCCTTCCCACCCCCTGGCTTCATTGTTAAGTTCTGATTCCCTGTGGAATCAGAGGCAGAAGCAAAATCTCCATCGGAGGCCTAATCGATGCAGAGCAGAGCGGAAGAATCGCTTCTCGTGTCTTGCTCACAACCCTCCTGTTCGTGCAGCCCAGAATCACGTTTGTTTTTTCTGCAGCAGCATCAATTTCTGCATTTAGCGTGTGGTCCACAAGGACCCCTAGATCCCTTTCTGCAGTGCTCCTTCCTAGCAGAGTTGTTGACTTAAGTTGCCTAGTTGACTCAACTTGAGACTTGACTTGGGTTCATTGTTTGTGACTTGAGACTCGACTTGAGACTTGCTAATTTTATTAAATCGACTTGGTGAAAAAATGGTCCAAAAATGCCGATATTGATGGCTTATACAAAAGTGACTTGACAGTTTTAAAATTAAGACTTGAGAATCGACTTGGAACTTGACTCGAAAGTGACTTTAGGGACTCAAGACTCGACTTGAGATGTGAACTGTAGTGACTTGAGACTCGACTTGGACTTGACAATGACAACTTGAAGACAACACTGCTTCCTAGACAGTCGCTTCCTAGACAGTCGGATTGCTCCTCCCTAAGTTGTCCTTGTTGAATTTCCTTCTGTTTACCTCAGGCCATTTCTCCGCTTTGTCCCGATCAGTTTGAATTATGACCCTGCCCTCCAAAGCACTTGCAGCCCCTCCCAGCTCGGTATCATCCGCAGACTTAATAAGCATTTTCTCTATGCTATTATCTAAATCGTTGTGGAAGTTATTGAACAGAATCGGTCCCCAAACGGACCCCGTGTTATGCCCTTCCAGCATGACTGTGAACCATTGATAACTCCTCTCTGGGAATGGTTATCCAGCCAGTTACCATGCTGGGAGGAATTTTGGTAGCACATCGCTCGGTCTAGCCCATGTAGAAGGGACCAGACTCCGTAGTTACAGAAGCATCTTCTAGCCCTGTTAGCAGGGGACTGTCGTGCTCTCCAGTGACAGGGTGGTACACTCCTAGTGCTGTCTGCACAGGCCAAACCACATCGTAACACTGCTGGATGATGACTGTCATGTTATTACACTACCATCGCCCAGCGTGATGCTTTGCCGTTTGCAGCCGGGGCGTAGCCACAGGTGGTCCCAAGTGAGCCATGGCCCAGCCACATTACAGCCAGGCCTGCCCCTGCCAGGATGTGTCTTGCTGTGACCCACACTCTGGGGCAAGGAGCGGGAGGTTGGGGCTTGCCCCACTTTGACCCACGCTCCGAGCCAGGGAGCAGGGCTTGGGGCTTGCCCTGCTGCACCCTGGCACTCTAGGATGGAGAGCGGAGGCTGGGGAGCAGGGTGAGGGGGCCCCAACCCTCCTGTCCCACTCCCCCCCATTCTTGCCCACCCAGCCAAAGTCAGGGCCCACGCAAGTGGGCCCATCCCTGTCTTGCAGTTGTTCCCTTAGCCATGTGGCGAGGCAGCTGTCGTGTAACTGGCTCTAGCTGGTGGTCCCAGCGCCTTTAAGGTCCCTTCTCCGCAGCTCCAGAGAATGCAGGAGTTCCTGCCCTGAACGGGGAAGACATCAAAGAAAAGCTCTCCCGGCTTGCTCTGACTCTTCCAGGCTTTGGTGCGACCCAGGAGCAGGCACCCCAGCACTGCCGGAAAATAATCAGCTTTGCTGACACCACCGTCACTCGGCAGAGCCGATGACATGGGCGCTCCACCGTGCTTCAAGGCAGCAGAGGTTGGGGTGTAGGGCAGCTCCCGTTGCTTCCTTTCCTGTCCCATTCTGAGGCCTGTGAAGAACTGGCTGACCTGTAGGGTGTCCCATCCTATCTGGCCTGCTCTGCATCCAGGGACGCAGACATCGCTCAACCAGCCTGCTCTGGACCAGCTGCCTCAAGGCTATTATCACCCTCCTCATGTTTTGGACAAGCCAGCTCTGGGACAGACACTGACCACTCGGCCAGGTGCCTGCATGGGAAGACTAGGCAGCTTTTTCCCTCTCTTCCCACCATCAGCCCTGCCCACTCCCTTGTCTGTCTCAGCCCTGCATATCTCATGGCCACTGCAACCCAGAAAACGGAGCAATTAATTTCTTTGGGGGCCTCTGCTAGCACCAGTTCAGAGGCCAGCCAGCAGGGGGTGCCATGTTCCAGAGGAACACTCAAGTCCCCTCTGCCTACTCCTTCCAGACTGGAGAACTTTCGTGTCTCTCTTGCGGATTAGCACCACGCTTTGCTTTCCAGCCAGCAGGGGCCGCTCATCCAAAATGAGAACATTTCACCTTAAAAACGACTCACGTCTTTCTGGTCTACCTGCCCGGCTCAGATATCGTCTAGGTCATTAGTAGGCTTTGGCAAACATGGCTTTTTATATTTTATAACTTCAGTGACTAATATCTATTTTTATTTTTGAGCAGTTATTTTCTATTGTTGTCCACTTAAATTTTCATAGGCGTGGGACATGGGGGGGGGTCAGACAATAATCATTTAACGACAGTAAGCATTGAGATTCACAAACTGAAAGCTTAATTATTAACACAAAAATCGTCAACATCTCATCAAAATATACCAAGCAAATATCCCCAAATGAAAGTCTAAGAAGTTCTCAAGGAGCACTGTTCTCATTTTGCCGTTTCAATTACCAATGGAAATATTTTTCATGGTGTACGGTGAAATTGAGATTTACCGATAAAAATCTAAACCTTCCACATCTGTTCATTAGTAACTGCTGCCATCTGAGGTCTCTTCAGTTGTCTCCGTGCAATGAGTCGCAGGTTCTCAGTCCAGTTCTCAGTGAACAAGAACAAATGAGGTCTCTTCAGTTGTCTCCGTGCAATGAGTCGCAGGATCTCAGTCCAGTTCCCAGTGAACAAGAGCAAATGGATCTAGGGGCCATAACGGACCACAAGCTAAACAGGAGTCAACAGTATGACACTGTTGCAAAAAAACCAAACATCATTCTGGGCTGTATTTGTAGGAGTGCTGTGAGCAAGACAAGAGAAGTGATACTTCCGCTTTACCCTGCATTTACGCTGCACTGGTTAGGCCTCAATTGGAGTATTGTGTCCAGTTCTGGATAACAAATTTCAGGAAAGATGTGTACAAATTGGAGAAGGTCCAGAGAAGAGCAACAAAAATCATTCAAGTTCTAGAAAACGAACTATGAGGGAAAACTGAAAGAATTGGGTTTATTTATTCTGGAAAGGAGAAGACTCAGGGTATGTCTACACTACCCTCCTAGTTCGAACTAGGAGGGTAATGTAGTAAAACCCCGCTGGTTTGAACCCCGTGCAGCGCGGCTACACGGGCCTCGAACTAGGTAGTTCGGAATAGGGTGCCTGGCGGCTCCCCGCTTATGCAAATGAAGCCCGGGAAATTCAAATCCCGGGCTTCATTTGCAAGTGCGGTATGCCTACATTACCCCGCTAGTTCGAACTAGCGGGGTAGTGTAGACATACCCTAAGAGAGGACATGATAACAGCTTTCAAGTACCTAAAAGGTTGTATAAGGAGGAGGGAGAAAAATTACTCTCCTTAATCTCTGAGAATAGGACAAGAAGCAATAAGCTTAAATTGCAGCAAGGGAGGTTTAGGTTGGACATTGATAGCAGTTTTAAAACAAACGGAAGGAAGTACTTCTTCACACAACACACAGTCAACCTGTGGAACTCCTTGCTAGAGGATGTTGTGAAACCAAGGCCTTTAACAGGATTAAAAAAAGAGCTAGATAAATTAATGGAGGTTAGGTCCATCAATGGCTATTAGCCAACTTGGGTAGGAATGGAGCCCCTAGTCTCTGTTTGTCAGAGGCTGGGAATGGGCGACAGAGGAGGGATCACTTGATGATTTCACTCCCTCTGGGGCACCTGGCATTGGCCACTGTGGGCAGACAGGACACTGGGCTAGATGGACCTTGGGTCTGATTCAGTATGGTCGTTCTTATGTTCTATAGGAAAAACTTCCAAGCTGTCAGGGTGTTAAGCTCTGGAATAAATGAACTAGCGGGGTAGTGTAGACATACCCCTAGAGAGGTTGTAGATGATTTTTAAGAGCAGGTTAGAGAAACACATGCCAGGGATAGTCTAGAATGGTGCTTGGTCCTGCCATGAGTGTAGGTGACTGGTCCCTTCCAGTTTTATAATTCTATGCTGAACCATCATCACAACTGCCACTAGCGATGACAATAGTAACAACTAGCTCGTTTTCCCAAAGCAGAAGCATTTCTCCTATTTTATAGAAGGGGAAAAACTAAGTTACCAGAAGGTGACGTGATTTATCCAAGGTCACCCAGCAACCCAGTGACAAAACTAGGAACAGAACCTCTTCCTTATCCACTAGGCCATGCTGCCTTCCTGCTAATAGGCTCCTTTGCTGGAAGTCTTACCAGAGAGAACAAGGATTGAATAGCTCTCTCAGAAAATCAACTCCCTTGCACAATTAAACTTTGTAACTCGCTGCGACAGCATAAGATTGAAGCAAATAGTTTAGTAAGTTATGTATTTATAGGAACAATAGCAGCATCTGCAGTGACATTAGTTCAGGTGAAAATTACAATGGCCACCCCCATTCTTCAGGGTATAAATTAGAATACCAGCTGTGGGTCAGGAAGGATTTTTGCCAGAGAATAATGTTGCATTTTTCGGTACATATGTGTATGGCAGGGGAGACGTTACTTCTTCCTCTGGCGCATTCGGCATTGTTCACTGGAAGACAACCTAAACTGCATCCAGCACCTGTTAATTTGCATCTGGAACAGCTGCTGTCATGACCCCAGCAGACAATGCCATGAGAAAGCAAGCTGGCTGCTCTATGCAGGGGCATTTACCTCCATTGTCGGTCCGTTTCAGGGCTCCGTCTTTGTGGGGACACAACTCGCATCTCTTGAAATCAAGCAGAAACAATGAGGTTAGTATGATTGGAAGGAGTCTGCTTCTTTCCCTCTAAGCTCTTCTGCTTCCTTCCCCCAATCTGAAGAAGAGCTCCATGTAGCTCAGATGTTTGTACCTTCCACCACCAGAAGAGGGTGCAATAAAATTTTACTTCACCTACCTTATCGCTCTAATACCAGAGTGTTGCATTTACACCAGAGGGAACTAATGAGTGATTAAAAATCCAGCTCCTCAACTGGTGCAAATTAGTGTAGTGGCTCTCAACCATTCTAGATGACTGTACCCCTTTCAGGAGTCCAATTTGTCTTGTGTACCCCCACATTTCACCTCACTTAAAAACTACTTGCTTACAAAATCAGACATAAAAATACCAAAAGTGTCTCAGCCCACTAGTGCTGACAATGGCCACCTTTCTCAATTGTACCATATAATTGCCAGATGGTTGAAATAAAAATACGGAACACCCGCCTGCCCCCCTCCCAAAAAAAAAACACCGGGAAAAATTCTGTTGAAGGAAAAAAAAGGTGGGGAGACCAAAGTTGTTGAGCAAAAAAAAAAAAGGACTCCAAGACTTATTAACCAATAAAATAAAATAAAACAAAGCAGTATTAAAACAGCATGTCCCCTTTAAGAGTGAGTCCAGGGATAGGAACAGGAGAGGGGTTGAGCACTAAGACCCAGGGGAGTCATTGCTTCCCCTTGGTCTTTTTGCCGGCAGCCATTTTGCGCCAGCAGCCTTGCAGAAGGCTGGGGGGGCTGGGAACCAGGGGGAGGGGGGGGCAGGCGCTGATTCACACCAGGGTCACTTTGGCTCATTGTGGTAATTCAGGGTATGTCTACACTGCAGAGGTTTTTTTTCGGAAAAACGGTCATTTTTTCCAAAAAAACATCACTTATGTCCACACTGCAATTGTGTTCTTTCTAAAAAAAATTGAAAGATCAGAGGTTTTTTTCTGACATTGGTAACCCTCATTCTACCAGGAAGAAGCCTTTTTCCGAAAGAGCTCTTTCAGAAAAAGGCATGTGTGGACGGGGAAGAGGGAGTTCTTTCGAAGAAAGGGGAAAGAGGAAAAAGCACAGGTGCCCTGGTGGCCACTCTGCCCATAGTAATCACAGCTTAAATGCAAGGTAGCGTCCATTCGGTGTGGACGCTATCTTTCGAAAAAGCAGATCGCTTTTTCCATGCGCTTTTGTTGTGTAGACGCTCTCTTTCAGAAGAAGTTGTTTTGGAAGATCTTTTCTGGAAAAGTTTCTTCCAAAAGAAGCCTGCAGTCTAGACATAGCCCCAGTTATACAATCATAAAATACTAGGACTGGAAGGGACCTTGAGAGGTCATTGAGTCCAGTCCCCTCCTTCATGGCAGGACCAAATACTGTCTAGACCATCCCTGATAGACATTTATCTAATCTACTCATAAATATCTGCAGAGATGGGGATTCCACAACCTCCCTGGGCGATTTATTCCAGTGTTTGACTACCCTGACAGTTTGGGACTTTTTCAGTTGGTAGATGGAAGCTACCTTAGGCGATAGTGTCTTTCATTTCTAGGTCGCTGGTTCAGCCTTGGTCAGCAGTGACCAAGGAGCAGATTTTTAAAGGTATTTAGGGCATTGCTGTGGTGGAATTCTAGCTTCTATGTGCCTCAATCTCTTTTGAAAAAGAAATTTAGTCTCTTAAAACAGTTAGGCCTCACAATGTGGAATGCATCCGTGCCTGAAAGCTTTTAAAGATCTGGGCTCAAGAGTTATGAAAGTCCATGTGAAATGAGTTTGGAGGGTTTCAGCTCAAAGATGAGCAAAGCACCTGCAGGAAACAATGAATTAAAAAAAAAATCCTGCACCTTTTTCTCTCCATGGATTATGAGGGACGAGGCAACAATGTTGATACCTGTAATGGTTTCATGGGAAGATATTTCACAGCAGCTACTGCTTTGAGTATCAGATCCATCTCTGGCTAGAAGGCCAATATGCTTCTCTGCAGCTTTTCTGGGATACCAGAGGAATCCCGGAAAAACTCTGCCGTGTCCAAGGAATGTGTCTGCTTTTCCGAAAAAAAATTCGGAAAAGCAGACGCATTTTTCAGCATCCCTGTAAACCTCGTTCTATGAGGAAGAAGGGATGTTCTGAAAAAGGGTTTTTTTCCCCAACATTTGGCCCCGTGTAGATGGGTCAAATGTCAGAAAAGCCTCTTCCGAAAGAGAAGTGAAAAAAGATATGCAAATCGCGGTTTGCAATTTGCGTACCTTTTTCTGACTTTACATTGTAGTGTAGACATAGCCTTTCTTTCTTTCGTTCGAAATTTCAGGCCTTTGTGGTTGTGGAGAAAAAACAGACACCAGGATTCCCGAAGCAGCAGGCAACCAAAAAGAAGCCAAACACATTTGAACATCCTCTCCAGATTTTTCAGCCAACCGTGTGATTCCGGGGAGGCCTGGCTTGTTGTTTCTGGATGCTTGGGGCTGGCCGTGGCGTGCAGGCCCAGGCCTGTGGCTTCGTCCTGGCTGCAGGACGGGGACTCGCTGGGATGCAGAGGCCAGAAAGCTGCAGAGAGACCTGCCTCAGCTCTGCTTCTGAACAAGGGCTGGAGCGCCTCGCTCTCCTTTTGCCACCTTCCCTCAGACAGCCACTGGGGAGGCCTCACTGGGGGCAGGCAGCCCCGGAGGATGGGAGAGGGGCAGGAGGGGGCAGGGGCAGGCAGCCCCGGAGGATGGGAGGGGGGCAGGAGGGGGCAGGGGCAGGCAGCCCCGGAGGATGGGAGGGGGGCAGGAGGGGGCAGGGGCAGGCAGCCGATCCACTGAGGAAGTGGCCCCAGAAGTGAGCAGTGCTGGGGAGGAGGGAAAGGGGAGGGAAAAGGCCATGGTGGAGGGGGAGGGGAGCAGCTGCAGCCCCGGACTCCCTCCACAGCACCACCCTGCCCCAGCCCCTTTCCATCTCCACCTGTCACTGGCTGCAAGAGGGGAAGCCCCACTCACAGGGAGGCTGCTGGAGCCAAAAAAGGCCTGAAGGTGAGGGGGGGCGAGTGCTGCCCAAATCCAGCCTGCTGCCTAAATCCAGCAACGCAGGCAGCCAGGCGGGAACAGCCCGAGACTGGCTCAGTAACGCACCTGGCTGGGCTAATGGATGTGAAGACTCGTTGCATGACAGAACACGCTCCGCCCTGGACATAGGTGGTGAGTTCCCAGTATTAATTCTTTCCTCACTGAAAGGATGTATCACTGGCCATCTGTATGTGACTCTTCGAACCTCCAATTGGTCTTTTGCCTGCTCCCTGCTTGGACAACTCACAGGGCCAGCCTGACTATATAGGTGGTCCTTAGGGCGCCAGGCTAGGGTTGCCAGATGGTTTAAAAAAAAAATACTGGGCAAAAATGTGATAAAAATTTGTTGAGCAAAAACAAAAAACACTGGGGGAAATTTGTCGAGAAAAAAAAAACCAAAAAAAACAAGTGCCAGGGAGTAACCAGGGAGTCCTTGCGGGAGGAAGGCGAAGGGTCCGAGGTTGGGCCGAAATGCGGCCGTGGCCCCTTTAATTGCTGTATGTCCCAAGCAAGCTTCTGTCGGATATTTTCTCAATTGGTTTACTGGACACTAAGTCAAAATACTGAACTGTCCAGTTCAATACCGGACACCTGGCAACCCTAGCTACTAGGGGCGCCAAATGAAACGGAAGTGAATGTTTTTCTCTGTTTAAAAATATATGAGTATGTTTTCCCTCATAAACGAACATATCAAATATGGTACTTGTATGTCGTTGCCATGTCAGAAGCTGAGCTCTATTATTTATTCCCCATTGTGAAGCATGGCTGGGCACGCCCATACGTTAAAATGTGTCGCATTTCACGAGGCATACTGGAGCAGTCGAAAAAGGCTTCCCTTGTCGACCGCGGTGTGTCCAGACTGCACCGCTGTGCTGCCAAACAGCTGATGGGCACAGCGCGGCGGTATTTAAATCGCTACTTCATTTTCCTAGGTCTAGT